AGCGCAGGGTGGTCCTTGGGGTGCTAGTGGCATCTGTGCGGTGTGGATCGGGGTTGTGAGTGTTACGAGAGACATACCTGGTGCTGAAGCGTGCGACATTGGTCGCCATATGCTCGTACTTCGGGAACGCTGTTGATGTCATCATTCTGCTTCGTAGTATAGGYTAGATAGGATCTGCCACCTGTAGTCTGGGCRCCGAGCGCCAATAGGATATCAGCTCTGGTTCGTAGTTGATGATGATGGGACTACTTCAGCATTGTCAATTTTGAACTCTTGGTGTGTTCTTATTTGGTGTATCTCGTGATGCCAGTCTGCTGTGGTTCGAGGTCAAGACTATCTGGGCTCATATGTATGATGCTGTTTGATTGCCAAAGTTTGCTAATGCTCATCTTCCTTGCAATTGGTCCAAGCGGACAATCAAAGCCTTCTTCTGCTCGTCCACTTGCTGCCTAGTTCGGGGTTCAGGGGTCTCCTCATCAATGTCGAAGATGAGTGAGACTGGATAGAAGAGAGAGGGAATAAATCGAGTGGGCACCGACAATTTCAAACAATTTCAAAAGAAAGACATTGTGATGTGCGTCTTCCACACAATGAATAATCAAACAACAATAATAAATTCCACGGTCGCACTATTCTACAACAACAAGAATTTTAAACAACCGAAGAAGAAAATAAATACAATTATTTCTAATTCTAACTACTGTTGTTCTTTGTCTGTCTTTGTGATGACGTTCTAATCAAGAGTGTACAGGTACCACCTCAGGCCCATGTGATCAGATACAACACACAAGTAAGTACGCACAGCACCACAACACAACAAACGACTGGGTAAGTATGCCAACATCAATCAGCAAAGAATTTGTCAACAATCTTCTTCTTCTTTCCTCTGCTTCGTTCCTGTTGCCAATGCGATACCGCACCCCTCTTGACAGCTGGCACTACAGCTGTCTAGTCAGTCATTCAATCGGTCGTACCACCTTCATCTTAAAGGTGCAACTCTTACTTGGCAGCCACTTGCCTGCCACGTGTCATCCCTGGCGTGCCAACATAGCAGGTCCTGCCATGTCAGCACAACTATTCAACCAGGGGGGAGGGATGCCACCATGTCAGCAAATGTGTGCTCTGGTCCTTCCCACTTGCCACTTCCTCACGTCTTGATGTGATACCGTCGCTGTTCCAGCCAATCGAGTCAATGCCACGTCAGCCAATGGAGCCTATGCCACATCAGCAGGCTCGCCACGTCAGACGACAATCGTGTGTGACACTTGCCTGCCACATCAGCTATCAGCCTTGATGTCCAAAGGCCACGTCAGCATCTGTACCGGACTTGGTTGCCACGTCAATCTCCAGCAACCAAGTCCCTAGACGGGGCACATGATATGCCACGTCAGCGTGGGATCGCGATGCCGCCTCACTATCGCGATCCTGGCTGGCGCGCAGTCACTCTTGATCGCGATCCCGACTGTCACATCAGCAGTCACGTTGGGATCTGGTCTTCTCGCCAGCGAAGTCCGTGCCACATCAGCAACACTGGCCTTCTTCGTCGTTGTCCACGTCAGATCTTGTTGTCATCACATCCGACACGTGCGCGTTACTTACCTGGTGCCACCTGGCGCTCGCACGTGATGTCGTCGTCGTCAGGAGTATGCTCTGATACCAAATTGCAATGAACCCAGATCGTGAAGACACTTGTCAACAATGCAAGCCCAGATGAATATCAACATGCTGATGATTATCAATAGTCATAATCGTGTCTAGATAGAATGAGATGGGAGAATCATACACAGACGAAGGAGAGAGGAGGGAGATTAGACTTAGAAGAAGAATAAAAGACAAATGCCCACTTCTGCTTCGGGCTCCCTCCTCGATCACCACCTCAAATAATCAATAGTCTGAACGCACATCTGAAGTTCTATTACAATGTGCCATGTGGCACGTCGATCAGTCCCTCATCAGCGTATTGGAGCAATGTCGACCTCAAGATAACCAGGTACGTGTCCATGATCGCCCCACAGTCATGATCTCCTCCCGAGTGACAATGAATCAGAACAGCAGTGCCAGTCACGTAGCCCAGCCACGTCAGCAACAGTACACGTGGCTGCGGCCACGTCAGCAGCGACGCATGGCAGCTTCCACGTAACCATGCCCTGAAGACAATAGCCAGCCAGCCACCATGCCGAGCTAGCAGCGCGTCGCCGTAGTCACCCAAGTGCCAGCGCAACACCAGCATCCAGCCAGCGTCGCAGCGTTGAGCCAGCGTTGTCGTCAACGAGTGAAGTCAGCATTGATACAAGACCAAATGAATCTCAAAGTCAGGAAGTCAGCGCTTATGTAGCGTTGACGCGGGGTCTGGACCCCGGATGCTGCATCCCTCCACCGTCAAGATCTCAATGCAAATGACGGCCCAGATTGGCCTGGAACCGAATTCCTTCTGGCCTTGATGCTGTCTGGGTACCTGCGCACAACAAGTGAGTGTATCCGACCAAGCGCCTGGGCGCAGTACCTTTGACCTGACAGTTGACTTAGACTTTTGACTTCCCACGGGCAGTGTGTGGTCACACTGCCTTGCGCAGGCCGAGTTTGGCCTGCGTCGTCTGAGCTCCGTTTCGAGGGCCCAGACTGCTGCAGAACACGGGTTACTGCCTATGGCACCAAATTTAAGCCGACAAGATGTGCTATGCATCCTACAACCATAAACCACTTGATATCTGACTGGATCAGATATCTCCGACTGGATCAGATCTCTCTCACTGGATCAGATACATGATATATCTGATTAGATCAGATATCCAGTCAGACACCTGACAGGATGTGTAGATGTCGGGCATTAATCAACGTGTGGAGTGGACATGCCTCTGTGATCTGATATCCAGTTCAATATCAAGTGTTTTTTATGATTAACATCCATTCAGATATCTGACTATATTTATATACACGAATATGCATGTGTAAATTGTCAATTACCTATCAGCTACACGAGCGCACTTCGCGATACAAACCACGAAAATAGCAGACAACATGAAACATATTGAAACCGTTCTTTTGTCTTTTCCGGCACAATTCGTTCTTTTTCCTTCCTTAATTCAGCATCACGGTTTCTTTCCTTTTTTTTTCTTTTTTTTTTTAAGGTTGTGCAGGCTGAGTTATAGGCGCCCTACCCTGGCGGCCAGTGCTTTAATCACACTCCCACAACACACCCAGGGCAGAGTGGGGGCATTCCAAGCCGGGAGACTCCCAATGGTACCCCGTCGCTCAGTGACCCCCCTCTCCCAACTGTCTATGTCCTAAGCACAGCCAGCAGGACGCTCTACAGGCGGGAACCCCCAGACAACATCTACACAGCCTTGCGACCGTCCCCCCATGGGGTGCCCGTCCGGGGATGTGAATGTGCTGGAGTCCAATATCGCGGATTCCTAGCGCGGGACCTTTTAGTCAGTGCCAACGCACTCGACCGAGCCAACCAGGACTCCATCCCGCTGCCTGTGTCTTGCGACACAGGAAACTGTAGTCATATACTGTCACAAATCTATGAACTAAAAGAGCGCAAACAGGCGATAAAAGTACGTAGGGCAAACATGAAGACCACACTAAAACCATTCATTTTTATCCTTCTTCTTTTAACTCCCCCTTCACTATGCCTCTCACGTACAAGGCTCGCCACGTTGATGAAGTTGAGTGTGAGCTGCCCTCATCCCCGTGTTCCGTAACGGCCCAGTTGTACACTGTGAGAAAGAGGCAGAGTAAAGGGGGAGGGGATAAACACAGAGAAGAGATGGAGAGACCACAAAGCAAAGGAAGACAAAGGGAAAGAAAGGAGTGTGGAATGAAGATGAAAGCAAAGGAAAGGATGAGAAAAGGCTCAAGAATCAGTCTTCCCTTGACGAGAGAGAGAACATACATCCGGTCAGGTCACCTCCGTCTGTTATAGACTGTAAGGTGATGGTCCTTAAGTGGATAAGGTAGGACCGTGGGAGTAGAGGTGCGCCGGGGGGAAACGACGAAAGTGGTAGGTTGGAAGGGAAGTTCCATAGGAATACCGCATAGCCAAGTCATGAAGGCACCCCTCATATGTCCAGAAACCCAACCTCTACAACAACCTGGGCTTTATTAAAAAAAAAAAAAAACACGACATACATTGTAAGAATGAGGTGGGTGAACACATTGAAGATATATGTGATTGAAGCAGTGCGCTCACCCCACACATCGATTCTTTAAATTATTTTACGGCCCTCATGAAGTTGATTGAAAATCATGCAGCACTTTGCTCATGGAACGAGTTCCGGCGCAAGAACCACAGCCATTGCACAAACTTTTGATCATAACCGTTCATTTCCTCATTCAATGCACTAAACGGCTACGAGGAAACAGGTATGTTAAGACCCATCCACCTGATCTTATACAGTTCCACCTCACACGAAAATGACTCTCTCTTTTTCTTGCAGCCTGAGAATGTACACACAGAAATCACCACCAACTAAGCCGCGGAGTACACGCAGCCTTTTTTATGGCATTTAGTTAGCTGTGCATATTTATTTAGTTACTACAAAGTTCCATCTCCACTCCAAACTTACAGGCACAGACTTAGTGTCATTTCATGAGTAACGAAAGATAAAGGAGAAGGAGGAGGGGAAAAAAAAGTGATCACAGAAGGATATTCAGACAAGCTAAAACTACTATCCGTAAGACAAATGTTAAAGAGCTAAGGTAACCCAGCCTGGGTGCCTGGGCCTTGGCGTTGACTGCCCAGGTGCCTGCCTGCTAAAATTATTGATCATCATTCGCTTTCATTTATCTTTAGATTCTTTACCCTCCCACCCCATTTCATTCCGCCCAGTCTGATCCACTCTCGCAACCACAAAATGGATCTCTAGTATTCTCTACCCATCCATCTGTTGATCCTATCAAATTGTTCGCCTACCCACCCACCCTCCATTCACCAAATCGTCATGCTACCTCAGGAAAAAAAAAGAAACCAAACCATATGCCAACACACATAAGTGGGCCGATGTCTGTTTTCCTGAAACCAATTTATTTTTTGGCATTAGCACTCCTTGGATGGCGGTAGGCAGACCATCCTCCACACCATGTCGTAGGCATTAGCCTCTCTCTCTCTCTCTCTCTCTCTCTCTCTCTCTCTCTCTCACACACACACACACACACACACACACACACACACACACACACACACACACAGGC